TGGACTTCGTCGACAACATACGAGTGTTCTCCCTGGGTTTGATGGTTTCGGGAGCTGCCTTTCCTGGAGGGTCCTTTCGTTTCCGAGGTCTCGCCTTTCGGGTGGTTCTGGGATTTCTTATGGATTTTATCCAATGCAGCTGTTTCTTCCTCCAAGGTAATGTATCTCGATGCTTTGTGAAGAGCGTCGTCGATAGTTGAAGGAGGGTTAAGCGTCAGCTCGGACCAGAACTCTGATTTATACCAGAGACCTCTTCTAAGAGCTTCGATGGCCACTTGATCGTTGGGGTTTGAGAGCTTAGTTCTAACTGCTCTGAACTTCTCGATGTAGATTCGTAGCGAATCCCCCATTCCTTGCCTGATCTTCCAAAGGTCGGCCTGAGAGGCTTGCTTAAGGATATGGGTCGAGTATTGCTTCATGAAAGCGTTAGTGAGCTGATCGAAGTTATCGATTGAGCTTGGCTCGAGGCTCGAAAACCATTCGAGAGCTGTTCCGACCAGGTTCTCGGCAAAAGTCCTGCAGTAACCTGCTTTGCATTCTTCTCGCGTGAAATGAGCTTTCACTATAGCTAAGCGGAAGGCTCTCAAATGAGCCTTGGGGTCCGAGGTCCCGTCGTATTCGGGGATCCTAATTTTCCGGGTATCTCTTATGTAAGAGCTAGCGATTTTGTCTGTGAATGGGGTTCCACGGGTTTCCTCAATCAAGCTCTCGATTTCGGGAGCTGAGCTTGTTGCTTTATGCACTTGAGCGTTCAGCTTCTGGAGGGCTGCGTGAGTTTGCTCCATGTATCGGCGAATAGCCTCAGGTCCTTCTAGAGGAAGGACAGTTGGATCTTCGCGGGGAATCTGATGGGAAGATTCTTGGTGGAGTCGAGTGTTGCCGTTGTCCCAAGCGTTAGGTGGACTAAATCGCTCGTTAGCTCTAGAGCCACTTTGAGGGACGTAACCCGGGGGGTGAGCTGTGGGATCAGCTTCCGTCCTCGGGCTGTCTCGGTTAGGGGTCGCGCTTCCATTTTGGTAAGCTGAGGTCGGTGCCCTGCCTCTAGGAGGGGGAGACATCCCTTCTCCGGACCTAAAGATAGGTGGCGGAGGTGGCAATCGGGTGCTGTGTTCGTGAACCCTATTGGGTGCTGAGCTAGTCGTCGCTATGTTACTTCCCATAGCACTAGTTACGGGCGGACTAAA